AAAAAAAAAAAAAAAAAAACTAAATGCAATTTTTCTCCACTAATCCTTCAAGGAACTGTCATAATATGCTTAATGTTTAATAATAGCCTTACTACTACAAGACTGAACTTTGCTCCTCAAGGATTACTGAGTTACTTGGTGGCTTGCCTTCCAAGTCAGAAGAGATTTCCAGACTTGCCAGGAGAATGTCTTGTTCTCAGTAATTCCTCAGATGAGTTATGATATTCATGACTGTTGCAATATGATGTTTAATCCTCTATATATTCTTAGTGCCCTTGTCAAAATAATTTGACTATATGCACTTGGGTTTATTTACGGGCTCTCTCTTCTGGTCCATTGGTCCATGTGTCTGTTTTTATGTCAGTACCACACAGTCATTTTTTTAATGGGTTTTTTTTTTTTTGTATTTTCAGATTAATATAAGGGTGGAGATGATTAGGTTATACTGTTTGCATTTGTGAGGTAAAGTCCAAGTTGTAGTGGGGCTCCTTACCCAGGAGGTGTGCCATATTCCCTTACATTGTGCCTGTCAGGTGAAAGCACACTAATCCCCCTCTTTCCTCCCTCCATCCTGCTTGATCCCCTCCACTTGAGTTAAATAATTGTGTTTTCTCCTGTGTGGACATGTATGTGTTCATCTACTGGTTTCATTTAGTACTGAGTACTTTGGATACATGCTTTTCCACTCTTGTGATACTGTACTAAGAAGAATGTTTTCCAACTCCATCCAGATTAATACAAAAGATTTAAAATCTCCATCTTTTTATGGTTGAATAATATTACATGGTATACATATACCACATTTTATTAATCTATTCATGTGTTAATAGGAATATCACACTGTTTTGATTACTATAGCTTAGTAATAAAATTTGAAAACAAAGTGTGAGGTCTCCAACTTTGTTCTTCTCTCTCAACACTGCTTTGGCTACTCAGGGTCTTTTGTGGTTTCAGACAATTTTAGAATTATTTTTTCTAGCTCTGACAAAAAACACTATTTGTATTTGAATAGGGATTGTATTGAATCCGCTCATATTATCATTTTGGGAGTATGGACATAGGCTATCTTTACAGTAATTTGTGTCTTCTTCAATTTCTGTCATCAGTGTTTTATAGTTTTCAGTACATAGATCTTTTATCTTCCTGGTAAATTTATTCCTGGGTATTTCGATCTTTTTGATGCTATTGCAAATGGAATTTTTTTTCCATTTCTTTTCATATAGATTATAATTGGCATAAAGAAACAACTGATTTTTAAAACTTGGTTTTGTAATCTAGTACTTCA